TGTGGGAAAGTTTAAGAGAATGACTTGGCCATTGGTCCCTCCAAATAGAGTAAGTTATCGAGTTGATTAACCCCCTCATAAAATAGATTCTTGCATTGTTTGGTTTATACCCAGATCCATTGGGGACAGACCGGAAAGTTAGGGGTTAAGGAAGTGGTCTGGAAAGCACATTTGGCAGAGCCAGAATGACTTAGGACCAGTGTGTCCTGGGGGGAGGGGCAGGGAAGAGGTGGTGGGTGGAAAGCTACATAGGGCTGAACTGGCTGTGGGACTGCTCTCGTGCACATGCAGAGAAGTGTTACATCTGAGAGATAGCACAGTGTTAATCTGGAGGTGAGACCAAGAGCCACATGTTGCAGAGGTCAGAGATTCCTGTATTTTAGAATGAGTGTGAATTGAAAACATGAGCACTATGGGGCAATTAACTTATAAAACTCAGTGAGTTTCATGTTCTTAGGTGTACTAGTTCTATATTAGCATCTTCTTTATTGGGCATGATGACCACAGCCTTCAGACCCTGGGAGAGGATTGTCTTCCCTTCTTTCTTTGAGAGCATACTATGTGTTTCTGTTTTTCGGACTGGGGTTACTCCCAGGTGGAGGTCTGGGCTTCGTATAAGGTGAGTCTGGGAACTGGGGGCAAGACTGGAGTCTGAAGGCTTCATTCTCCATCCTCAGCTTTGCCTGCTTAGTGCTTGGACTGTCTGAGTGAAAACCCTGAGGAAGACAGGTGGTGGCTGAGCTATTGACAATGCAGCCACTGGTGAGTAGGGAATTCCTCTTTCTCCTGAACTTGCCCCACTGTTGCAGCAGAGGGGCAGGTCTCTCCTTCTGGCTTGACTCTTCCAGGTGCCCTCACGAGCTGCTCAAGGACCTGAGCTCTGCCGTGTCTCCACGGCCCCTGGCTTGTACTTCTGAGCCGTCTGTCCTTGGGCGCTACAGCGAACCCCTGAGTTGTGTGGAGTCGAGGGAGGAAGCGCTTCCTTGTCCCACGTTCTGTACAGAACGTGTGCAGGTCGGCAGAACGCTGAGCCCTGCTTCAGGACTGTGACTTTAATGGTCATAGACTGAGGACTTGCGTGTGATAGTGTGTGCTATGTGGGAGGCACTTCACACGCTAGCACGTAGGCTCTTTAAGCCTTGTACTAGGCTGTTCAACCATTTTATGGATGAGGAAACAAGTCATATAAGGGAATAATCTAACAATACACATTATATGAATTCTCAAGTACAGATGTTATAATCTCCAGTCGGGATGTCGTGATTACTAATTAATTGGGAAATTTCCAGGCTGTAGCCCACCACACGTTAGGTAATCTTCACAATCAGGTTTTATGGACTCAGAGTGTTTATGTCTGTGTTAGTGTGTATGAAAAAAAGACAGAGGGCAGCCAGCACAGGGAGTGATCTGACTGGATCCCAAACTTTGTGAGCTGTCTATACACACAGCTCCTGCTTCTTCAGTGCTGTCGTCTTGACCACCCTACTGTGGACATTGGAAGGGACAGCCCTGTCTGACCCAGAATATCCATGATTTTCAGGAGTCAGTGACCTTCAAAGATGTAGCTGTGGTCTTTAACCAAGAAGAGTGGTCCCTGCTGGACACACCTCAGAGACACCTGTTCAGAGATGTGATGATTGAGAACATCGATTCCCTGGTCTTTGTGGGTGAGGGTCTCAGAATTTGTCTATTTATCTATCTAGAATTTGTCTGTCTGTGTGTATCTATCTATGTATCTATGTATCTATCTAGAATTTGTCTCTCTCTCTCTCTCTCTCTCGTATTCAGCAAGTACCTAGGAAAGCTTTCCCATACCCCTTTCCAATCTCTGCACTGCAGCTACCTGAAAAGACATTTGTTTTCTTCTTACCTACATCTGGTTTGCCTCTCTGTGAAATCTAAAGTTAGCACAATTTCATGTGATTCTTATTCCTCAAATCCCAGCACTCAGAAGAGTGCTGACAACTCATTGATATGGATAAATAAGTGGATTAAATGTTTTAAATTAGTTATTCTGCGCTAGGGACTATGCTCAGATTGCAGACTGCAATAGTAATAGTAACATATTCTATTCCACCTCATCCCTAGATTGTTTTGGTCGAGTTTATGTTTATTTGATTTGATTTTACCACTGTCTACTCTGAAAATGTGATTTCTGCTTGTTTGAAAAGACTGAGGATTTTATAGTCTGTCTTTGAACTTGAACATGGGCATCAAAAACCAGAAGTCCTTAATATGCTGGAAATCATGTTTGTCAACTATGTAGAAAGTCTTTAGTCAATGTTCTGACCTTACTTATCCATTTTATGGTGTAAGATTACCAGAGTTCCATATTCTAGACACTTTTCTCTGAGCTGACCTTCAGTGGTTAACCTTATTATTCCTATGTATATTTCGTGGACGTTTTATCGAAATAGGCCTCAAAATCCATGTGTCTCTTCCCCACAAACAGGGAATCATCTTTGTAAATCAGATGTGATTTCCCAACTGGAGCAAGGAGAGGAACTGTGGAAAGGAGTAAGATTTCTCCAAGGTGAGAGTCCAGGTAAGTTTTATTTTAAGAAGGAGCGTATTCAGTGAATGAATAAAATAACCGATTGCCGTTGAGTTGATTCCAACTCATAACATCTCTGTGTGACTGAGTACAATGCTTCATATGTAGGATTTCCAAGGCTATAAGTTTTATGGAGCATCTCTGGTAGCATAGTGCACAAGGCACTTGACTGCTAACCAGAAGGCTGGCAGTTCAAACCCACCAGCCACTCCTTGGAGGGAAGATGGGGCAATCTACTTCCATAGTGATATTGCCTCGGAAACCCAAGGAGGGGTTGCTGTAGGTTGGGTCCGACTCAAGGCCACATCACAAAAACAAGAAGTTTTATGGAAGCAGACTGCCACATCTTTCTTCAGCTGAGCAGCTGGTAGGCTTGAACTGATAACCTTTCAGTTAGCAGCTGAGTACTTAAGCACCGGACCATCAGCAATCCTTCAGTGAGTGTGTAGGTGCTTGGAAATATCAACTACAGATTTCTTTAAGTGTATAATATTTTACAAAATGTCAGTGAGGACTTTGAAATAAAATTCCTCAGATGTTATTCCTTGCAGTGATATTCATTTAAATGCCCTTCTGTTACTGTTTCTGGCTATGTAGGAAGAAATATTCACATACTTATTGGAGTAACAATTTCACGTAATATCTCTTTTCCTGGCCTTCCTCTTTGAAAATTACCCTTTGTATGTTTCCCATGTTCATTTAATTTTGTCATATTTCAATCACAAAAATCTTTTAAAATTTGCCGTGTCCTAAATGTATTTCTACTGCCTATAGCACTCTCAATTTGACATTCTTTTCCCATTTAACTGTCAGTAATTGAAATTACGCATACTTGAGCATTGATGCTTTTCAACATTTTAATTCCTGTAATGACACTAATCAAATTATTCTTTACTCAGTTATTTCAATCAGAGAAAGCGGATTTAGAAATCAAGAAATGATATCCTGCAAAAAGGACACGTCCACCCTTGTGGTAATGGTAAGCTTCTTGTGTGTGAGTTCTGGCCATGTAAATCAAGACCTAGGGATGGAATAAGTTAGAAATTTAGCACAATCATTTTACTGTAATTAAAATTGGGGTAAAGTGCTGTCCCCACCGTAAGTTTTGGTTTATTTGAAATTTGGGAAGAAATTAGCCTGTGCTTAAAACTATAACCTAAGTTCTCATCAAGAGGTAATTGCATAGCATGTCTTATATCAGTCTCTGAAACCTAATGAATTCTTCAGAATTAATCAGATAGCCCTGCAGTTGGGATGCTGCAGAAAGTAAATCTGTGCATTAAGAAGAGTGATAACGCCATGCACATGTAACTAACGTTGGGAAGACTGTAGTTGGAGTCGTTCAATGATGATTCTAGAATTCATATGTATAGAAATGTATGAATAAATATATGTGGATAAACCTTTAACATTCATTCATGTCCTTCCCAAAGCAGAAAGCTCTCAGTGAAGAGAAACCCTTGGAATGTAATGATGTGGAAGATTTTACTGACAGCGTCACATTGACTCAACCTGAATTAACTCACATGGGAAAGAAACAAGATGTCAGCAAAGAATTTGGAAAATCCTGTAAGGACCAGTCATTCTTTAAACCACATAAGCAAATTCACACTAGAAGTAAACCATATGAGTGTCATCTGTGTGGGAAAGCCTTTATTCAAAGCTCTGACCTAATACAGCATATTAGAACTCACACAGGAGAGAAACCATATGATTGCCACATGTGTGGGAAAACCTTCAGTACAAGATCTAACCTTAAAAAACATGAGAGAATCCACACTGGAGAGAAACCATATGCTTGTCAACTGTGTGGAAAAGCCTTTAGTCAGTGTTATGAACTTAGAAGTCATGAGAAAAAACACACTGGAGAAAAACCGTATGAATGCAATGTATGTGGGAAAGCCTTTATTCAGAGGTCTTGCCTTACACAACACAATAGAACTCACACTGGAGAGAAACCATATGATTGTCATATATGTGGAAAAACCTTCAGTACAAGATCTAATCTTAGAAAACATGAGAGAATTCACACTGGGGAGAAGCCATATGTTTGTCAACTATGTGGGAAAGCCTTTAGTCAGAGTTACGAACTTAGAAGTCATGAGAAAACACACACTGGGGAGAAACCATATGAATGCCATATATGTGGCAAAGTCTTTATTCAAAAGTCTTGCCTTACACAACACAATAGAACTCACACTGGAGAGAAACCATACGAATGTCATCTCTGTGGGAAAGCCTTCATGAATTGTTCTAACTTGAGACGCCATGAGAGAAGTCACACTGGAGAGAAACCATATGGATGTCAGCTCTGTGGGAAAGCCTTTAGTCAGTGTTCCGAACTTAGAGATCATGAGAAAACTCACACTGGAGAGAAACCATTTCAGTGTAATGTATGTGGTAAAACCTTCAGTAGAAGTTCTAACCTGAGACTTCATGAGAGAATTCACACTGGAGAAAAACCATACGAATGCCATGTATGTGGTAAAGCTTTTACGAGGAGTTCTAACATGAAACTACATGAGAACTCACATTTGAAAGAAACTATGTTTGTCAACTGTGTGGAAAGTCTGTAGTCAATGTTCTGACCTTAGAAATCATGAGAAACCACACTGGAGAGAATCCATATGTATGCCATATGTATGGGAAAGCCTTCATTTATTGTTTTGTCTTGAGACAACATGTAATAATTGTGAAAGAGATTTCTGTCTTGGTTGCAACATTTACGCACCCAGAGGAGTCTCACACATTGAAGGAACAGAATCACACATTGAAGAACAGTATTGTGTAATCAATGTGGAAGGGTCTAATCATTGTTACTACTTCTCTCTAAGCAAATCACACTGGACAGAATCCATATGGATGTGATACATGTGCCAAAGCCTTTAGTCAATGGTCTGACCTTATTTGATGTAAGTAAACTCATAATAGAAATTTAATAAATGTGAAAAAGTCTTCAGTCACAGCTCTCACTATTAGAGTACTCAAAATGAGAAAAATTCTGCCCACATTCAATGTGGAAAAGTCTTCTTATATATAATGATTCTTTAGACAAAGTGAAAACATTCCAAAGGAGATAAACTTAAGGTCTGTAAATTACTGTGCACTATTATTACTCAGCCAGGCACCAGCATTGGTGTGCACGTGAAAACTCAGTGCAGGATTAGTGGCCTTTTATGGATTGAGTTTTGTCCTTAGAAAAGGTATCTTGGAGTACTAATTTCTGTACTTCTGAATGTTACTTTGGAAATAGGTTTCTTGTTAACAGTTCAAATGAAGTCATACCAGAGCAGGGTGTGTCCTCATCCCTTCAAAGTAGTGTCTTATAAAAGGTTGGAACTGACGTGGAGAGTCACCTGGGAAATGTAGGTGCCTGGTGAAAAACACCTACCAGAGAACACCACCACAAAGCAGAAATTGGAGGGGACAGGGAAAGATCTCACAGCGGGTAAGAGAGAGCCAGCATGGTTTTTCCACAGCCCTGAATTTGGAGTTCTAGACTCCAGACTATGAGAAAATGATCGTCTATTCTTTAAAGCCACCTCCTTTGTGATATTTTGTTACAGCTGCTCTTGAACACTAAGATACCACTAAGACAGGAAGGAAGAGAGAAAAAGCTTTTACTAGGAGGGCAAAGTCTTTTAAGGAACACCAGGTAACCATGGTGAAGAAGTATTCATGAAAACCATGAGAAGTCATTAATGGAACAGTGCTTTAGAACATGTGAGGATTCACACTATAAAACACTCTCAGTGTTGAAAGAAAGACTTCGGTGATCAGTCAGTCCTTCAGCTTTAATGTTCTCACACTAAGGAGAAAATTGTCCAAAAGCCAAAGTGAAAAAAAATAAATAAAGGAAGTGTACCTGGATTTCATATTAGAAAACTTAGACTGGAAAGAAAAATTTTAAGCCCTTGAGAACAAAATTTAGCAAAGGATTCAGAATTTTGATGAAAGACCTATTACTGAAAATATGCAGAATAACTGTGTGGGCTTGTAAAGTGATTTGGGCACATCGGAAGCAGAATATTGTAAGAAGTACTATGAAATAATATTAAACTCGATTGTTACTTGCATGTGTGTAAACAAGTTACTGGTGAAGAATCTATTGGTCAAGTTCGAGGTTTTTCTATAGTCAAAACACATAGATGTGGATTAATCAAAGTAATTTTACTGCAAGTTGAAGCATTTAGAACACAAAATTGTGTTTCTTAACTATTATTTTACACTTAACATTTGTACATGGTAAGAAGGAAGGGAAATGTTGATAAACATACTTTATAAGTAAATTCCGATTATACATAAACTCTCTTTTTACAAATCCGTTTACTGTTGCCTTCAAAGTTTAAAAAGAAATTACAGAAGAATCTACTTAATATTTGTTTTTAAACTCCTGGGTAATTGTGAGTATACTGGCAAGAAAATTCCCCGGGATGAGGACAAGCAAGAACAGTAAAGATGGGGGCAGTGTCCCATTTTCTGGATGCCTTAAACAGTCAGACCTGTGAAAGCAGAAACTGTCAGAGTAGAAAAACTCACTGGGTAATTACTGAAGTTGAATTCTTAAGGGAGAGCAATGGGAAAGTGGTAAGATCTCACCCTGTAATGATGGAATACTTTTGAGACCCGGTCAGCAAGACATTTCTGTTGATTTCCAGCTCTCACAGGTTTCAGTATGTATTTATATTAATGCATGTGGCATGAAAGTAGATTGCCCAGGCTTCCTTCCGAGGAGTGGCTGGTGGGTTTAAACTGCCAGTCTTTTGGTTAGCAGTCAAATGCTTTAGGCACTATGCCACCAGGGCTTCCGGTCATAGCCACAAGGTGACCACAAAACAGTCCCAGGACTCCAACCTTAAATTAGAATAGACACACTCAGGCAAGCTCCCTGGTTCTTTGTGTGAGTATAATCTAGTTTCAACCACACTCTTCCTGAGTGCAAACTGCCCCTCCCTAGGTTTGCCCTGGAACTTGTCTATGCATGGCCACAATGTTGGTTTGAAAGAAAGAACTGGTGTCTGAACTAGGGTTAAGACTCAAAATGGAGTTAGGGCTCCCACTGCAGACCACAGCCTTCCACAGACCCAAGTGCTGTAGAATTGAGGCTCTAGAACAGTACCTTTGGCCTGGCTAAGTTTGAGAACGTCTCTCCGTAACTCCTTCAGGCAGATCATTCCTCCTGGCTGTCCCTTCCCCCTGAAAAGACCCTTCTCCCTCACAAACCTAGTATTATCCCCTCCCCACTGTGTCACTTCCAAATCGACTCTTCCATCTGTTCTAAGATCTCCATTTCCTCCTGTGTCCCCCTTAACCTATGGTCTTACACCATCTCTCCTCATGTCTCTCTTCTCCCTTCTCCATTCCCCTTCCAGGAGCTCTGGTGGCGTAGTGGCTAAGGCATTTGACTTAATCAGAAGGGTGGCAGTTCATACCCACCAGCCACTCGGAAGGAAGGTTGGGTAATCTACGTCTGTAGAGAAACTACCTTGGAAATCCAAGGAGGGGTTGCTAGGAGTCAGATCCAACTCGACGGCAGTGAGTGGGTTGGGTTCACCTTCCACCCCTCTATCAAAGCTCCTTATGCTTCCCTTCCCTCCCCACCGTTACCTTCTTCCTCTCTCCTCACTTGATATCTCCATGGTAAATTCACTTCTTATTCCCACTGCTCACCTTCCCTGCATTGAGTTTGCCTCTTTCTCCCCTCTGTTCAGTTTGCCTCTTGTCCCTTGATTTGACTTCATGTGATGAGTGGAGTTTAATTCTGGAATCCAGATTTGTGGGTTCCATAGAGTGACCTATCCAAACCATTACCCTGAGATGATCTTTGAACCCTGGGCTTTGAGACTGATCCCCTGAAAGTCACCTTTAAGTCAAACAGTGATGTTGTTAGAAGCTGTTGAGTCGTTTGTGACTTATATCAACCCTATGTACAGTAGAACAAAACACTGCTGTTTATCGTAAGGTTGCTTATTGGCCCAGTTGTGAAGATTTTGTTTTCTGTATATTGAAGTGTAATGCATATTGCATACTGTAGTCTTTAATCTTCCTCAGTAAACACTTCAAGTCATCTTCCCTTTCAGCAAGCAAAGTTGTTTCATCAGCATATCGCAGGTTGTTCACAAATCTTCCTCCAATCCTGATGCCGTGTTCTTCCTGTAGTCCAGCTTCTTGGATTATTTGCTCAGCATACAGATTGCATAAGTATGTTGAAAGGAGACAACCCTAATGAGCAACCTTCCTGATTGTAAACCATGTTGTGTCCCCTTGTTCTGTTTGAATGACAGCCTCCTGGTCTATGTACAGGTTCCACATGAGCACAAGTAAGTGTCCTGGAATTCCCATTCTTCTCAGTGTTACCCACAATTTGTTATCCACACAATCAAATGCCTTTGCATAGTCAATAAAACACAGGTAAACATCTTCCTAGTATTCACTGCTTTCAGCCAGTATATATCTGACAATCAACAGTGACATCTCTCATTCCACATTCTCTTCTGGCTCGAATTTCTAGTAGTTTACTTTCAATATACTGCTGTAACGGTTTTTGAATTATCTTCAGCAAAATTTTACTTGGATGTGATATTAACGATCAAAACAAAAAATCCACTCACTGCCATCGGGTTGGATCCTACTCATAGCGACCCCTCCTTGGGTTTCCAAGGCAGTACCATTATGGATGGTAGATTGCCCAACCTTCTGTCCAAGGAGTGGCTGGTGGGTTTGAACCACCAGCCTTCTGGTTAGCAGTCAAATGCCTTAGGCACTATGCCATCAGAGCTTCCACGTTCTGTTGGATCATCTTTCTTTGGAGTGGCCACAGATATATGGATCTCTTCCAATCAGTTGATGAGGTGGTAGTTTTCCAAATTTCTTGTCATAGACGAGTGAGCACCTCCAGTACTGCATCCATTTGTTGAGACATTTCAGTTGGTATTCTCTCAGTTCTGGGAGCCTTGGTTTTTGGCAGTGCCTTCCAGGTAGCTTGGAATTCTTCTTCAGTGCCATTGGTTCTTGATCCCATGCTATCTCCTGAAATGGTTGAACATCAACCAACTCTTTCTGGTACCATATTTCTGTATACCCCTTCATTCTTCTTTTGATGTTTTCTGCATCATTCACTGTTTTGCCCATAGAATCTTTCACTATTGCAACTCAAGGCTTGAACTTTTCCTTTGGTCCTTTCAGCTTGAGAAATGTTGAGCATATTCTTCAGTTTTGGTTTTGTAGCTCCAGGTCTTTGCACATTTCATCATAATACTTTGTTTTTTCAAGGCACCCTTTGAAATCTTATATTCAACTCTTTTATTTCATCCTTTCTTCCTATCACTTTAGGTAGTCTGTGTTCAAGAACAAGTTTCAGAGTCTCTTCTGACATTGATTTTGGTCTTTTCTTTCTTTCCTCTCTTTTTAATGATGTTTTGCTTTCTTTGTGGATGATGTCCCTGATGTCTCCCACAACTTGTCTGGTCTTGAATTCCTTCCAAATCCATGAACTGGAGTTAACTGTATGGAAGAGCTGTCCCTTCTGCTCTAATTATTGAATTATTTCTTTATGTTAGTTTGGACCCATAAGTAGTATGATGTTCTATGTGTTACAATGCAGTAGTTTTATTTAATTTTTTGCTGGTGTGTCAGCTTTTGCTGTGACTAGTTCTTATAGATTGGTGTGTCTGCTCCTTCATCAAGCCACATCTTTTTTTTTTTTTTTTTTTAAGCACTCTTATTTTCTCCCACCACAAAATAGTCCAGGCTTATTTTGTGTTTTCTCTATCCCAGCTCTAGAATTAACCA